GTTAAGACCATTTTCATGTAATGTGATTACTGATATGTTTGGATTTAAACCTATAACCTTGCCATTTAGGTCTTTGATCTATTTTGAGGTATTTTTTGTGTATAGTGTGATGTATTGGTCCTTTTTCATTTTTCTGCAAGTGGATATCCAATTCTGCCAGCATCATTTGTTAGAGACTGTTTCTTCCCCATCGAATGAACTTTGATCGCTTGTCGAAAATCAGTTGTCCACAGATTACTTTGGCCATAAATCAATTCTATTCCATTGGCCTATGTGACTATCATTGAACCAGTACCAGGATGTTTTGATTACTAACTGTACGGTATATGTTGAGATCCGGGAGTGTGAGGCCTCCTACTTTGTTCTTCTTCATCAATGCTGCTTTGGCTATTTGAGGCCTCTTTCCTTTCCATATAAAGTTGGTGATTAAGCCAATCATTCTTGAGATATAAAAAAGAGCAGATTAGACACAGAAGCAAGGAAGCACAGATGTGGGACAATAGATGCCACGCCATATGAAGAATGCCGAGGAACAGAAGCTGAAAAGAGAAAAGGAACTTCCCCCAGTGCTGACAGAAAGAAAGCCTTCCCTTAGAGCCAGTGCCCTGAATTGGGACTTTGAACCTCCTAAGTGTGAGAAAATAAATTTGTTTTCATTAAAGCCACCCACTTGTGGTATTTCTGTTACAGCAGCACTAAGAAATGAAGACATTAGCCTATACTTGTCCTTAAAACTTCAGCTGTTTTAAAAGACTAAAACAATATTCAATATTACCCAACATTATGATGACTGCTACTTTCTCCTGTACTCTGCCAAAGGTGAAACAGTTTATGTGCCCTCTTTCTCCTCACTGTTTCAAATTCAGTTCACATTAGTTGCTTTATAAGCTCACTTATAATCTCATTTCTGTTGCCTCAGCTGTCTGGGCTCAAGAAAAAGTTACGCGTTTTAGAATATTCAGTCTTTTCTCGTTAGTCTTGGAATGACATTCTCTTGCAACTTTCAACATCGTAAGTGAAAGTGGAACTGCTGCTCTCTCCTTTTGAAACCTTGATTGCTTTTATCCTTTGGCCATTCCTCTTTCCCACTCGTCTGCATCAATACTCTTTCCTTCTTTTCTGGATCATTCCTTTCAGCACATAAACATCCTGACATGAAAACATTCTCTTCTCTTTATCCTATATTCCTATCTAGCTACCTTCCCATTTCCCTATTGCTTTCCAAAGCTAAGCTTTAAAGAGCTGCCTATGTTCATAGTCTCCAATTCTTCACCATCTATTTATTATTCAACCTCAATTCAATCTGGCTCCCCTGCCTTCCATTTTTCAAAAATTAAATTGCTCTCCCCACCTTCCTTAAAAAGAATAGTTTTTGATCTAATGAGTTAGACTTTGTGACTATTAAGATTTAAAGTGTCCCTGCCTTACCTGAGCATAATATGGAACTAAAACATGCTTTTTAATTATCCGTGGTACATATATTACTCTGTTCATGGCTGACAGGAATGAGATATCTCTGTCTACATATGCATATATGTGTATGTCTATACACACACACACACATATTATGCATACACACAAAATGCTAAATTAAGTAGCTTTTTAGTTACATGTCCCTCAGTTTTTTCAATGTGTCAGTGGCCCATGATAGAGAAAGCTGTCTTCACCCACCTCCAGCAGTTGGTCAAACTTCTCATTCCCAGAGGAGTCCTAGGCACCCCAATGTCTGACTTAAGAGACCAACATTTGTGATTCCATTTATCAAAAACGCTTACTGTCCTTTCTTGATAATAATAAAGGTAATATATGCACATTGTAGAGAATATAGATGATATAGAAAAGTACAAACCCAGAACTCTTCAATACATGGAAATTGTCTATATAAACTAAACTCCCTACAGGTTTATTTTTCCAGGTTGTTATATGTGAAGGAGAGAAAGGGGCATGCTCTGACACATTAGTAATAGTTTTGCATAGCCTGAACATGATATGAACTGTGTCCTTTTTCCAGGGTTAAATCATTTTCTTCTTTGCTCCCTGTAGGAAAAAGTGACCTTTCCTTTCCTTCCCGAGACAGGCTAGGGTAAAGACAAGTTCTATTACCCTGACAGAATCATTCTTGGCCATCTTTTGCTCTGCCTAGCTCTCTAAACAGTAGGGCGAACACTGCTAACAAAGGTTTAGAATGGAGATAAAATGGTTTATAAAGTACTGTGAAATAAAGTCCTGCATCAGTATTTGGGCTGTGGCTTATATAGAGCAGTGGTTCCAACCAGAGATGACAAATGTTTCAGAATTCTCTGGGGATTTATCTAAACTACATAGACCCTTTCCATGGTCATACCCTGGCACGCATGATTTTCAGGAGTAAATCTATATGGTTTGGAAAAGCCCCACAGATAATTCTGATCCTCCCCCCTCTTCTACTCCTCCCACTAGTAGAAAGGGTAATATACCTAAACCTTGGTAAAAGAGAGAATGGATATGAAAAATATAAAAACTGGAAGGAAGAGAGTCCAGAATAATAAACAGCTGCCACTATTTCTCACAATGCATCTCTTCCTGCATGTCTAAACTGTATGCTGGCATTCCTAAGTGTGGCTTCCTATGCAGCACCGTAACATGAAGGGGGACTGACAGAGCGCTCTTTGCCAGAGACACATTATCATCCAGAAGCTTTGTAATAAAGCTATGAGCACACTGCTGGAACGCCTGTCCCCTGTGAGTGCCCCACTTTGTTGGCACACTGTTCCGGAGCCCAGGGATGCCATGTGTTGTTTCAGCCTGCCTTGGTCAGAAACCTTGAACAAACAAGTCATCCAATTTAAAGGAAAATAGAATTTTCATTAAATAGCTAACTTAAAAATATTTTCAGCCTTTTTGCTTTGTATGTTTTAGATTGCATGTAAGTAGCAAATAGTTGGAATTAGAAAAATCTCTATTTTATCTGCAACATTTAGTCCATGTAGTAACTGATTTCATGTATGTATACAGGATACGCGTTATCATTTATGTATGAATTTTGTCAGATGTATGTGGGAGAAAGATGTGGCAGTCTGCTTCCGTAAAGATTACAGCCTTGGAAATCCTATGGGGCAGTCCTACTCTGTCCTGTAGGGTTGCTATGAGTCTGAATTGACTTGATGGCAGTGGGTTTGGTAGGATATATACATGGTTCATCTTTTTTATTTTTTAGCTATTTGTCCCTCTTATTGTTTCTTTTTCTCTTATTTTTTTGCTTTCTTTGAAACAATTTTTACCATTCCACCTTTTCCTGTTTGAAAATAACATACTTTGTTCCTATTTCTGTTAATTCAACACACATTACTTATAATCTAAAATTGAACACTAACTTTACCTTCCTCCTGATGAGTGTCTTAAAACACCTCAAATTCCATTTGTTGTGCACCTACCTATGCTATACTTGTATATTTAGATTTACTCATATATGTTTATCATCTTTATTGTTCCTCATTCCTGCATCCCTTAGAATTTCATTTAGTGATGGTGTCCTAGTGACAAACTTGAAGTTTTTTATGGCCTAAAAATGTATCGTATCCTTAGTCTTGAAACATAGTTTTATTGGGAATAGGGTTCTATACTGGCAATGATTTCTTTAGGACATTGTTCTTTTAGGACATCCCATTGTCTTCTGGCTTCCATGGTTGCTGTTGAGAGTTCAGCTGTCAATCTGTCTCTCCTAAGGACGCAATCTTTTTCTCTGGCTGCTTTTAAGATTCTTTCTTTGCTTTGGTTGATTTGCAATTTCACTATGTGTTTTGGTATGTATTTTTTTATCTTGCTTGGGATTCACTGGCATCATTGCTTCTCATCAATTCCGGTAAATCCTTAGCCTTTCTCTCTTAAAATACAGCCTCTACACATTTTCTTCCTTCTTCTTTTATAGCTCTAATTAGACATGTTAGGCCACTCTTCCATGTGCTTAACATCTTTTTCACATCTTCCATTTATTTTGTGCTACATTCTGAATAATTCCTTCTGACCTGTCATCTAAGTCAATGGTTCCCTCTACAGCTGTATAATCTGATGGTAAACGCATCTGTTGTTAATTTCAGTTACTCTAGTTTTCATTTCCTTAGTTCTACTAATTCCTTCTTCAAATCTGCTAGGTTATTTTTAAGAAAAATTTCCTATTCCCTGCAGATATTCTCAAGCTTGTATTTTACTTCTTTAAACATACCAAGCAGAGTTGTTTTGGCTTTATAATTTGTCTCACAATTTCAGTATCTTAACCCTTTGTGGATCTTCTTTCTGCTGGCTCTCATTCACGGAGCCTTGTTTCCTCATGAAATTACTCTAAATTGCTCATTTTCCTTAGAAAATTAGTTTGGGAATTCTTTTGGAAAAGGATATACTCATTCTTTCAAAAGGATTTGCATTTACTTATGTCAGGCATTTAGGGAACTCAACTAGTCCAATTATATCTAAGTTTAGAACTTGAGGTTTTTCTAATACATACCAAACCAAACCCACTGACGCTGAGTTGATTCCAACTCATGGCAACCCTACAGGACACAGAACTGCCCCTAGGGTTTCCAAGGCTGTAAATCTTTACGGAAGCAGACTGCCACATCTTTCTCCCTCAGGGCAGCTGGTGCATTTGAACCACTGACCTTTCAGTTAGCAGCTGAGTGCTTTAACCACTGTGCCACTAGGGATTCCTGGTAACATACAGGGGATGCAAATTCAGATTGCAAAGCAGTGCAAGAGTCATCTTGTAATGACAACTTCTTAGATTTTCTTAATGTGATCTGCCCGGAGCTAAAGTGACTTTTCTTGCAGTGCCTCAGAGGTATGCATGCGGGGGGGTTTACTGTGGGTTCATCCTTATCCTGAGGTATAGCCATTTGGGGGCCTGATTTATGGTGAGTGTCTTTGATTTGATTTCCCACCTTGAACAGGCCTTTGGTTTTGATTTCTGTTCACAATGTGTTGTCAGACCCTGAAAACTGAAGCTCATAGTCCCATTGTTTTTTAAATGCCACCATGGTAAAAGCACCTTCAGTGGTTGGTTACTCTCCAGCATTTTAACTTGGACACTGATCTGGTAGTTTTTCACTGTCCAGTTAGTACATTACTTAAAAAAAGTTATCCATCAGTTTTTGTTGTTTTCAATGGGGTGGTCAGAAATTACCTAGTCTGCTACATTTCTGGAAACAGAATCTTCTAGTTATAAAAACACAAAGAAAGTTTTTGCTAAGAGTTCTGTGTTGCTAACTTGCATAGAAGATTCCTGGGTTTTCTTCTTAATTTTCCCACTTCATTTGCTCAGATTTATTAATTTTATTTCCTAAACTTTTGTTTCTCTATCTATAAAAGAGGCATTTAAAATAGTCACCAATTTTGGAATTGCATCAGTGAAACCTGTAGAACCCCTCAAGTGAGGAATGAAAATTATATTTATTTTGCCTTGTTCCGGAAACAATTTGAGGGAATTGAAATATTAAGATTCCTAATAGCATCACTAGAAGTTCAAATAGAGAGGGAATGGCATTTGGTAGAAAGCGCCTTAAATCCTAATCCCTACTCTGCAATTAACTAGAGGAAGAGTTTCCAATACAGAGTCTGTGGAACTAGCTACTTTAAATTATATACAAAATGTTTTGTGTATGCACACATGAGAATTTTTCTGGGAAGAGGGTCCATACCTTTCATCAAATTCAGTGAACTACATATAACATAGCCTTTTAATACTTATATAATTTAACCTCTTTATACCTTAGTTTTCTAATCTATAATTTGATGAAATACCCTATCTACTTCATGAATTCACTGTAAGGATTTTTAAAAAGGCAGTAATATGTGAACATGTTTTGAAAAAGTTATCCTTTAAAAAAAAAACTTATTAAAATGTTCTCCCCTTTTTTTAACACTTGCTAAAATGTTCAGGGTATTATTACTACAGAGAGGTTACCAGAACACTTTAAAAGTGTTTCTTAATGTTATTTACTCAACAAACATTTGAAAGTCTTCTATGTGCTAAATGCAGGGATATAGATAAATGAAACACTATTCCTGCTTCAGGAAGTGCACTGTCTACTATGGACACAGACTCAGGGATTTTCAGTGCTAACTTTAAATACACTCAATAACTATGGAGGGCAGAGGAAAGGCACTGGGGTGGGGGACAGCAGATGAGTGAAAGCCACTGAAGGCTTCTTGAAGGAGTTATCACCTAAAATGAGTTAGCCAAGGGAAGGCATTCCTGGCTGAGGGATCAGCATAAGCAAAGGTAGAGACAGGGAGAAAATGGTATAGTGTTGTATAAGGTAGAGTAAGTCAATGATGCTGGCACAGAAAATGAAGGGCAAGGCATGAGGCTATACGTGTAGCACACGGGCCAGAACAGGGAGAGTTTTGTGGGTCGGGCTAGATTCTGAGGAGTATCCTGCAGGCTAAAGGGAACACTGAAAGGCCCTAAGTAGGGGACTAACTCTGTTAAGATTTTGTTAGAATACTCTGGTAGCAGAGGGAAGGGAAGATGGATTGGAGATAGTAAAAGTAGACAATTTTTCTGTTATTTCAGGAAGAGATCTGAAAGCCTGAAATAGGGAGTTGGAGAGGAGACACAATAGGACTATGTGGTTGATTACATGTGTGGGGTAATAGAGAAGTCAAAGATGGCACCCAGATTTCTTGCCTGGGTGGCTGGTTGAATCTCCAAATGAGATGGTGTGGTAAGTTTGGTCTTGTTCCATTTGAGTAGGCATCTGGATAGAAATGTACCTTAGACAAGTAGAGTGAGTCAAAGGTTTGAAGATCTAATGAGTTATTAAGTGCATGGAGTCTTTATTATATAAGCGATAGTCAAGACCATGTGGATGGCTGAGATCAGCCAAGATGAATATGCACAGAAATGTGATGTGCCAACATTTAAAAGGCAAGTGTATGAAGAGCCCAAGGGAGAGACTGGATCATCACAGAGATGTAGAAGATCGAAGAATGTTACAAAAAAGACAAAGAATGAATTATTAACAGTGGTAAATGCAAGAGAGGTCCTTCGGTGAGATATGAACTAAATTCATTCATTTGGCAATTGGGAGGTTACTGTTCAATAAGAGAAGCATCCTTAGAAAGGTGTGGGTGAGAACCAGATGGGAGATGAATGAATGTGTGTGTGTGTATGAGAGAGAGAGAGAGAGAGAAAGAGAGGCAGTAAATGGAGAGTAAACATACACAGCTTGAGAAGTATGGATATGAATGAGAGAAGGGAGACTAGAGCTAGTGTTACCAAGAGAAAGTTATTATTTTTTAAGGATGGCAGAAACAGGAACATGTTTATTATCTGAGGAGAAAGCAGTAGAAAGACAGAGGCTGAAGATAAGAGTAGTTTTCTTCCAGGCTCAAAAACCTGGTAATCTTCAGGCTGTTCAGGAAGACCTAATCAGAATTAAATTTGTAGCCAATTTATTGGGAAAGCTCATAAGCACAATAGCTAATCCATCTTAATAAAAGATACAGAATGTACTCCCTAGTTTATGTCAAAGAAGAAACAACTCAGCAGCCAATCACACAATTAAAAAAATAAAGCAGGTCAGAGTTACTGCATTTTTAAATTAAACTGTTGCCAAACAAAGAGTGATATTTCTTTTTTCTGGGACGAACATAAAACAATGTGAATCAGAATCATATCTTTCTGCACAAAGATAATGCTATAAACTGGTAGAAAAGTTACTTGCCAGACTATACTATTCACCTAGAGAGCACTGTGGGCCCTGTACAGTGGTAAAAACCTCAGGTTCCCCAAATGCCTGACATAAGTAAATGCAAATCCTCTTGAAAGAATGAGTATATCCTTTTCTAAAAGAAAAGGGGCCAATTAGCCCATGTGATAGCATGTGGGCAAAATTCCTGTTTATTAGGGACCCCTTTATGTGTTAGTGAAAAAAATTTCTAAAACTCCTTTCAAGAACGTATTTCTTTTTGCTGGAATACCTAATTAAAAATTCTAATAATACAAGTTTTAATGGAATGAGGAATTGTAAAACAAAGACAGAATTGCTTTAGGGGCAAGTAACAATTAGAGAAACTTTTGAATAAAAGAAAAAGATGATTTAAAATGAGGAGGGAGGAATCTGAATACATATAAGAGGTGACAAGATATCACTGATTTTACTATGCTGCAAAAATGCTTTGGATGGTCTCTTTAAAAGATGAACAAAATGTAAATCTTAAAACACTCAATACAAAACAAAAATTGAAAACATAAAGCTTTGAATCTTAGGCCTGTTTCAGTGAAAGGAGTGTTTACAGCAGTCAATAAAACCCAGAAGAAACTTTCTCTCCATTTATTCATTAATTCAACTAATACTGCTTGAGTGCCTGGCAAGGTACATCAAACATTTAACAATACATGAAATACTTTTGAGTAAGTCTGTTCTTGTCAATAAATGCCTGGACTCTTTTTAAGAGGCTGTGCGGGCTTGCCTCTTCAAATCTCGTTCTCAGGATTGGAAGGGTTTAGTGGTCTCCACTGCCACTTCCTGACCATTAATTCTCCAAATCCTTAGAATAATCCTTGATCCTTTTGAGGCTCACATCCCTCCTTTATTGCTGCCTCCTGCAGTCCTGCTTGCTCCCCTTCATTCACAGGACACTTCGGCACCTGACTTAGTTTTCCTCTCCATTCCATCTTCTGACATCTTCCTGGATGATTTCAATGTCCATCTGCCTAACCTACTTGTCCTCTCAGGTTCCTTGATATTGTCTTGTCTCCAGTGATCCTTATTTCATTCAGCCATTGCACAGTCACATCTTACTATGCCATGAATTTGCTTTTCTCAGATTATTAATCCAAGCATCCTGGTCTAACTACCATTTTCTACCCTCCAAATCTGCTTGTGCAACTACTGCCAATATATCAAAGCTGTCATGTGACTGTCCATTGGAACTCTATAGTGTTCCCGTTAGACAGCTCTGTGTCGGCTTCACTTCTGTTCCTATCCAGCTAGCCTCTGTAGGACCATTATTTCAATAATTCTCATGCCAATACACTATACTGAATGCCCTTGCCTCTTTGTTGTTCTATCAAACTTCTCTGGTAGAATCCCAACTTCTGGATGAACCCAAGTACCTCCATTTTCATTGTGACCGTACCCAGGCAGCAGGGTGCTACTAGAGAGAAGAAAAATCGTAACAGGCAAATTTTTAACAGCTGGGTCCTCAACACTGTTTGCAGTCGTAGCTACTACATGTATGATCAATTTATTCTCCACAGGTATTATTTTCAAACCTCCTTCTCACCTTCCCTTCAATTTCAGGTGATCTGGTCTCTGACTTCACAGAGAAAACCAAGGCCTGCATCTACAGCCATCCTCTTCTCTTTTCTTCCAGAAAAGAAGTACTGCCTTCCATCTGAAGGCCAATCCCTCTACCAGTGCTTTGGATCCCATTCTCATTCACCTTCTGAGGAGCCTAGTGCCATCACTAATCACTTCTCGCCATCTTATCTTCAACTTTTCCCTATTTTCTGGGTTCTTTTCAGAGATAGTAGAAGGGGAAAGGAAGACATGCTATTCTGTCATTCTGTCCTCCCTTTCACAGTCAAAATTCAAAAAGTCGTGTAAGGTAGCTTCTTTCTGACATCTGCCTCCATTTCTTGGCAAGCAATGTCACTAAGGCCACCAATTATTTCCCTGTGGCTAATGACCTCTCAGAAGCATTCAACACCTGAGCTGAGAAATGCCCTTCCTTTGGCTTTCATGGCTTTACTCCTCCTGGTTTTCCTTTTATCTCTTTGGTCACCACTTGTCAGTCTCCCTAGCCACTTTATCCTCTGCCACTTACCCTTCAAATGTTAAAGTTCCTCATGGTTTTGCCCCAGGTCCTCTTCTCTTTATACTCTACAGCAAGAACTAGCATACTCTTTCTGTAAAGAGCTAGATAGTTAATTATTATGGCCCTTTGTGGGCCATACTGCCTCCATTATAACTATTCAACTCTGCCATTATAGTGTGAAAGCAGCCAGACAATACTTAAATGAAGGGGCATGGCTGTGCTCCAATAAAACTTTATTTACAAAAACAGATGGTGGGTTGGATTTGGCCTAAGGCCCGTGGTTTACTGACCCCTGCTCTGTCCTCAACCCTGTATATCCAACAACCTACTTACCCCATCTCCATTTAAATGTCTCAAAGGCTTTGCAAACCTTAACATAGGAATCATGCTCTTTGCCCCCAAATCAGGGCTCCCTCCAGTATTCTCTCTTAGTAAGAGGTACTGCCATCTATATAGTTGCACAAGGCAGAAAATCGGAGTCATCCTTGATACCTTCTTCTTTCTCTAATTCTTTGAACTGGAAGAATACCTAAAAAAGGTAGGTCTAAAAATGTCACTACTTGAAGCACACAGTCAAATTTCATGTTTCACTAATACGGCTGGCTAAACTTTATTTCCATGTTTATTGCATGTTTATCTTTAATTTTGAGTACATATTAGAATTGATTTGACATACGACTTGGGAGACAGTTAACATTCTCCACTCAGTGGGTTAAAAAGAAATGTAAAACTACAAAATACTTAAGTGTGAGTTCTAAATTATGGCAAACAGAACAATAAATACCTTGCCATTTTTCTAATTTTCCAAGATGGACTTCATTATAAATTTTTTTTATAATTTCAAGCAATTAAATAAGGGATAATCATAAAAGCTATTTTACTTTGATAGAGAACAAATAATTTGAGTCTTAACACAGAACTCTGACCTTCTATTTAAAATATAAATACTTCATGTTATTCTGAATTGAGGGGGATTAATTAATATGTCAATTACAAATCTAATGACTTAAACAGACTCATACATCCCATTTCCTTTTGTTTGAGAGTTAGGCTGTTTTAAGGGTGACACGCAACAGAGTTGATTTGACATCCACGTTAACCATTGCTCAGCATGGGGATGATCCAATACTAAGCATGTGGTGGCAGAAATTCAGGATAAATCAGTTCCAAGTGGCTAAGGGCTAACAGAATTAATCATTCCACCTCCCACCCTAATCTATGGACATATACAAATGTACAGCTTTTAGCATTCAAAGTTTCAAAATAAAACTCCTCCAGGTATTTTGAAACTCTTGAAATTCACAGAACACAAATACTGTCTGTAGTATAATTCTAATGTTTAAACAAATACAAAATTATGGGTGGTTATCAAAATTGTTATTGGTAATAAATATAGTTTCTTTTACTTCTCTATGATAAACTCCTTAACACATTTTGTGAAGATGTGTTCATAATACTACTAATCTTAAATACATTTAAAAAAATCAGCTTAAAATTATTTTTTATCCAGGGATTACAGGATGAAGACTCACTGAATGTGCATAATGCTTATTGTTCTCACTAAACAAGTGTTTAGAATCACCTGAAAAAACCGATATTCTAATGCATCTTATAAAAGACATTTAATAAAGATAATTCACCTCTAATTAAATTATTCTAGTGATAGAGTATTTTCTTATGTAATTGTTTAAGACAGATCACTTATGGCTTTTCAGTTTTTAAAATTTCACATTTAATATCATGTTGTTAAAACTTTTTAAAATTAATTTCCCAATATCAGATTCCTAAATGAAAAAAGGAAGGACAAAAGAGAGAAAAATTCCATTATCAATTTAGCCTCCTCCGTTCCCTGCAAACCAATATTTCATTTAAATTCAAGGCACACTCCTTTTCTTAGAACAGGGGTCAGCAAACTTTTTCTGTAATGGGCCAGGGAATAAATCTCCTAGGCTTTACAGGCCATATAGTCTTTGCTGTAACCATTTAATTCTGCTGCTGTAGTGGGAAAGTAGCCCATAGACAATGTGCATTTACAAAAATAGGCACCAGGCTGAACTTGGCTTGTGGGTCATAGTTTGCCAATCCCTGCCTTAGAACAATAGTCCTAAACATAAAAAAGCTGTCTGAAAAAAACTGGTCTCTAGTCAGATACAACGACTATTTCAGAGTCTAGCAGTCAATCACTCTAGATACTCTGAAATTGAACAATTTGAATTTATCCAACTTTCTGCTTTAAGATTCTTCTATTAAAACTCATGTCATCATTCTTTTCATAGGGTCATTTATAGTCATAAAAAAACTTGCTTATTATTTGAGGGATTCTGTTTAAAATTAGTAAATGATGCCCATACAATTTAATATCCAATTTAATTTTTTAAAAACTTAATGAAAAATATAACAGAATCAAAACATTTAAAATAAGTATACTCACTACCAGCTCCAATAATTCATTTAAGTAATATCAACTACAGAATATGAAAAATAAATTCAGAAGTGTAATTACTTTAAAATATGCCACTTCCACTTCTGTCAATATTTTACATTTATGTATATATTCTACAGTGGAAGCAGAAATTCTCTCTAAAAGCATTATCTTCTTAAAATCTTGAGGTGTACATTAGAGCCAGAGGCAATATCTGACATATAAAATTGCAGTACAGGCCTTTCAAATTTGGCATTTCACTGGTACAATACAATGACCAAGGTAGATAATCACTGTACAGTGCCTAAACATTCCAGTAACAACCATTATTTTGTTTGATGTAGAATGATTAATACATATTCTACAAGGGGCAGTGAGGTTAGTAATTCTATAGGGTATGTCCTGACAATTTTCAAATTGTACAATAACACAAACAACTTTGTTAAGGCCATGTTTTATTTGCTGATTAATGGACAAAAGGCAATGTAATTTATTTTCAAGTATTTTCTTGAAAGTCTGTGCTCATAAAAATCATGAAAAGTTGGAAAGAGTGTTAAATCACTGAAACTTTAAATATATCTTACACAATCTTGTTTGTACAAAAATACAAGTTAAATATAAACATAAAGCAATCATGATAATTTTATGCAAATCTGTTTTATGTGATCTTCTGTTATATATAAAAGTTTCTCAGTTCTGTTATTTGTGAAAAGATCAATACCAGATTGAATTACTATCTATTGGCAAAGGGCCCTAAAAAGCTTACTTTAGCATTAATCTGTTACATGGTTAACTGCGTTTCCTAATTTGAGATCACCTAAACACTGGAAAAAAGGAAAAAAAATGAAAGGGCAGTATGTCCATAAACCAACAAATAATTTGGCTGTAATGTATCATAAAACACAAAGAAACCCCACGCATCTGTACAATCAACATTATCTATGTATTACACACACACACAGGTGTATACATGTGTACATGCGCATATACACGTGTACACACCCATACACACACACAGCCAGAAAACAAAGACTAATGAGGTGCTGCTTCCAGTTCAATATTCAGTTTTGCATTTTCTCTTACTTCATCAAACGAATAGCTTTTTGTCACTTTTCCATTCTTGAAGACAGTATGAAGAAGATCCTGCACAAATATAATAATACTAAAAATTAATGATTATATTAGAGACTAATAAATAAAGTTACGCTTTTATGATGAGACTGCTAACTAGTCAACTATATGGAGATGTTGATGGTGTTCAAATTGTTAAATGATCTAGTACACAAAGAATCTGGTAGGGCAGGCAGAGAGCAAGGTATTATTTAAAACAGTAAATCACTAAATTACCTGCTAGGCAGAAATATTTAACTTTTATGAAAAGGCACGATCTAAATGTTACATTCTTAAACTAGTTTTACTTAAAGGAAAAAACAAACAAAAAAACTTGTTGACCGATTTTTAAAATTAAAGATGGAAAATGTTTAATGCTTGATTGCCCAGAACTATGACTGTCACTGACAGTCATTACTGACAGCTGCAGCAAAGAAAGCCTGCCAAACCACCCTTTATTCCTAGCCAACAGACTCAACACTGATTAAATGTGTCAGTGTGGAAGTTTAATAAATTTGTTAGCTACTGAGTTTTGGCCTTAAAAAAACAACAACAATGAAAACAAAACAAAACAAAAATAGGTACTAGTTTGACTAATTAATAGTGACTCAGTGAAAGACTCTGTGCGTACTCCAAAAGCCACTGACTCATGTAACCGATGATCCATGTCCAGAGTAATGAAGACAGATTAAAAGTATTAGTCCTAACTTTCCTTTTGGGTCTGCTAAAGCCGCCTCTGTCTTACTAAGGAGTTATTTGCCTTTCTCTTTGAAAAATCTATAGAAGTAATCTATTGTGCCTATGTTTTCCAACAAATCTGAAGACTGAGGTGCATATGACATTATCTGATATTCTGTCATTGTGATGTTTCAGATTATACTGCTAGAGTTGCAGCATTTTCTTCCATAAATTTAAATACAACCTATCAAGAAATGCTGGGTCCCATTCTTCAGTCAAAATGTATAGATGATTATAAATTGATTACTACCTCAAATGGTCTAGCGTATTTATATACTCTTAAAAAATCAATGCCATCAAAAGTTATGCTTTTACCCTTAATCTAAAGTGACTTTATTCCATATAGGATAAACTAATTCAACAAAATCTTGGTAGCTGCAGAGTTAAGTGAAGGATGCATGAAGAATTGCATAAGAGGCTACATAAACGGATCTAATTTTAAAGGACTGAGTTAGGAATTTTATATTTTTTCATTAAATAAACAGTCAAATGTTATTTCATTAATTCTGGCACCAAATCTTGAAGAATATAATAAAAGTGACAGGTTAAAAGCATAAATTTGACCTGGAAAAAATAATCTAAACATAAAGTAATAAATGATTGTGTTTGTTTAATGTAAAGTTTTTCTCTGAGATATGAATATGCATGAGTAGTTTCCCTCTAAAAATCAACATTTTTTTCCCCTTCAATCCAGTGGTGAAAATTAGAAATTCCTTAATTTTCGAACTGATAAACATAAGGTACTTTTATATATTAAATACCATTAGATTATATGTATCACTTTAGCATACTATAAATTTTACCAGTTTGGTTGACTTGAATCAGAAAACTTAGTTACATGTAGGTGTTACTATTTTTTAATTTTTATATCTGAATTTAGTTACCTAGTTTTCATTTAGCACTATTAAGATATCATAATGTGCCTTCTTTAGAGTTGCTGTGAGAATCAAATTAGACTAAACAAAATCATGTGAACTGGATACTATTATTGCTTAAAAAAACTGCATTATCTTAAACAACATCCTAGAATGTGGGTAGTCCTTCCTTTATTAAAATTACCAACTTTTACTATAATGAAAATAGCTTTGAGAAGTCTTTGTAAGAAAGCATTCCTTTCCTTTAGATAGTCTTAATTATTCCTCTTCAGAAATGATTCATTTGCTACCATATTTTAACACAAATAATGCACACCTTCTATGTTTGTTTGCCAGCCACACCCTCCCCCTCCCCCTGTGAGATATTTTCATATTGGCACCACTATGCCAACTTATTTTTTACATGTTGTTGTAAAAAAATTAGCATAGTACCCTTACAAAAATATCTCGATGGGGGGGGGGAGGGCACAGTTGGCAAACAAACGCAGAAGGCGCGTGTTGTCTACGTAAAAATATGGTAACTGGCAGCAAAAATAAGATCAAATATACACAAGCTTGTTGAGGGTCATCAGACACTACCATGCTAGTCACTATGTGAAAAAAACGTTTTAATTAAAAAAAAAATTATAAAAATTTTCACCAATGTATGTACAGGTAGTACCTGACTTAGGACGTATCTGAGTTACAATGAACCTCACTTATGACTGTGTTTTTCTCCCCTATGGTACATCTTATTGTTAGTAATTTGCTGGTATTATCATTCTTAGATGTTCACTTACAGGTGTTCAGTGTTACGATTTATAAGATGTTGATAATGAAAGTCAATAATAATGAAAACTGAAGCAAAGTGTATATATACATATATAAGGTGTTCAACTTCGTCAGAAATGACTTACAACGGAGTCGTCCGAATGCAACCTGTTGCAAGTTGGGGACTAGTTGTATAGGTTTCATATTTATGATCTAGCAACTTTTTGTTTTTCACCTTATTTTGGTAGGCTAGGTCCACAATTACACATTTTACAATAAAATGACTGTCTTTCAAGAAAAAACTGTTCGGAACTTAAAAACACAATGACATAATAACTTTACCAACTTTCTACTGTTAAGAAGATATATATCAGGGAATTCTGGGAACATGGTGCTATAGACAGAAGCACCATGCCGTCCCCCCACAGCAAAGACACAAAAAACTAAGTAAAAAAGAGACAAATGTCATTCTCGGAACCCTAAGCATCAAATGAAGAGATAAAGAACTCAAGCAAGCACTGAATGGTGTAAGAAACTGACAGAGAACAGAGAGCAAGAAGAGTGACAAGCAGAGTCCCCTATCAGCTAACACACCACAGATCCACCATCTTGGTCTCCTGCTGGAGATCAGCAGACAGGGAGTACGGGAAAGCAGATCATGGAGCTCACGGCAGGAGACAGAACAACTGGTAACCAGTGAGACATGCTTTCCTACCTCCCACCCTACCTCCCCCTGCTCGACCTTCACCGCTTCCTGGCTGGCTGGTCCACTGCTTCCCAGCAGGCCAATTTGCTGCTTCCTGGGGGACAGACTCAGCTTCCTCAAGAGCTAATCTGCCAATCCCCAGCAGGCTGCAACTGCAGCACAGGAGGTGCCGGTTCTGTGCCACGCGAATTCACCTCGCCTACACCGCCCAGCTTCTTCAGTGCCATTTCTTTGTTGCAGGTATTGCTTTTTTTGGCCTCTTTTGGTTTCTTCTCTGCCTATCACCTCCTCCCCCTTCTTTCTCTCAAACACCTGACTCTGTGTGCCATCTTTGCTTCTTCTTGACAGGGTGTGAAGCGCTGCTCACCTGGAAAACTGCTTCCCTAGTCCATTTCCCCAGTCTGCACGGCCACGCTGGTGGGATCCCTGGGGGCTTTCTTTTCCTTTTTGTTTTCTCTTTCTTTTTTCCTTTTGTTTTTCTTCATTTCTCGGTTTCTCATCTCTTTCTACTTACCTTCTTTTCCTGTTTTCTGAATACCTGGGGCTGTGTGTTATCTACCTCTTATAGCCGGGCTATACCACACGGCTTGGGAGACGCGTCCTGGTCTGTGTGGCTGTTGCAGTGAGATCGCTGCAGGCAATTTTTTTTTAAAATAAATTTTTAATTAAAAAGTGTTTTTTAAATTAATTAACTAATTAATTTTCCTTTTTGTTTTTCTCCATTTCTTGCTTCTCCACTCCAACAGCAAGCTCCCTCAGCATTTTTTTTCACTCCTGTTTCTTTCTCCTCTTTTTTCTTTTCCGTATCCAACCAGCTCCACACATCACAATCTCCCCCTCCCCTACCTCCTGCCTATTTGCACCATGTGCTGAATACTGCACTCCCAAGCAGCACAGGCACAAACTACTAGAACCTGTCCTGTGCTGACCACTGGCTCATCTTGTCAGACCAAGTACATATCAAAAACAACCCATCCTAGCTCCTTCAGCTGGACCTGCCCTGCTACACCATAGCTGAGCAACTGGCCCTGCCCACTGGACAAGCTGGTGAAAAATATCGTGTCCACAGACAATCAAACAACAAAGAATGCACAGCCCAAATGCTCACATAACCAAATAAAACAAAAAAACAGGACGAGACAAACAAATCTACAAACAATAAAGGAAAAAAAAAACTACTGAATGTCCTGAAGACAGCAGACAATATCAAAACATATTAAAAAACACAGGACACCAATGTTCCAGTAGGCATCCAAAATAAAACAACAAATGACCTTCCAGTAGAAGAAAAGGCACTAGAACTACCTGATAGGGAATTCAAATCTCTAATATTCACAGCTATCCAAGAGTTGAAGCAACAAGCAGACAAAAATGAGGAAAAAATAGACAAATTCATGGAACAGGCAGACAAATTCATGGAAAATGTGGACAAAAAAGGAAGAATTCAGGAAAATAACACAGGAACAAAATGCTAAAATAAATGCACAACTAGAAATTATACAAAAACAACAATTAGAAATCCAAAAGATAAACAAAAGATTTCAGAAATGGACAGTGTCATAGAAGGACTGAGGAACAGGTTTGGAACAACGTAAGACAGGATCAGCAAAATTGAAGACAAACACATGGATACAACATTGATGAAAAATCAGAAAAAAGAACAATGAAAAATGAAGAAACCCTGAGAATTATGTGGGATACAATCAAAAGCAAAACTGAGTGATCGGAGTTCCAGAATGGGGGAGAAAATGGAAAACACAGAGAAGATCATTGAAGAACTGCTGACAGAACACTTCCCTAATATCATGAAAGATGAAAAGCTGACGATCCAAGAAGCTCAATGAACCCCATATACGATAGACCCCAATAGAAAATCACCAAGGCATATCATAATCACACTTGCTGAAATCAAAGACAAAGAAAGAATTCTGAGAGCAGCTCAAGAAAAACAAAAAGTCACATAC